TTTTTATTTAATGTTTATTGTCATTGTGAGAGGTGTAAAGGTTCCAGAGCCTGGTTGGTTGTGTTCAGTTCGTTGCAATGTGATTTGTTTGTGTATGTGATTGGGGAGGATTGTGGGGCCAGGTTAGCCATAATGTTTCATATGCCATTGGGAGGGTAGGTCATTGTCTTGTTTTGTTGTCTATTTGATAAAGGGGAACCACACTGGGTGAAGGTGTCCTCTTTCACTTGTCCCTGTGATGGAGCTGGTTTGCTTAGTAAATGGAATGTCCAGTCCAGATGATTTCAGTGGGACTTATGTACAATTACTTGTGCAGCTACTTTTTCTAAAACACCCAAGCAGTTCTAATCCTAAATTGTCTATTTATTTATTAAATGGCCTCAGCCCAGTATACCTGAAGGAGCGTCTCCAGCCCCATTGTTCAGCCCAGACACTCAGGTCCAGCTCTGAGGGCCTTCTGGCGGTTCCCTCACTGCGAGAAGTGAGGTTACAGGGAACCAGGCAGAGGGCCTTCTTGGTAGTGGCACCTGCCCTGTGGATGTCAAGGAGATAAAGAACTATACAACTTTTAGAATACATCTAAAGGCAGCCCTGTTTAGGGAAGTTTTTAATGTTTGATGTTTTATTGTGTTTTTAATATTCTGTTGGAAGCTGCCCAGAGTGGCTGGGGAAACCCAGCCAGATGGGCAGGGTATAAATATACTACTACTACTACTACTACTACTACTACTACTACAACGACAACGACAACGACAACGACAACAACATTTATACCCCATATTTTTCTCCAATGAGCTCAAGACAGTGTACATAACTCTCCCTCTCCTGATTTAATTTTCTGCAACAACCCTGTGCGATAGGTCAGGCTGGGAGGCAGTGACTGGCCCAAGGTCACCAGTGAACTTCATGGCTGGGTAGATATTTGAATCCTGATCTCCCAAGTCCCGGTCCACTATACCAAACTGTACCAATATCTTCATTTTAACGGGCCCAGGAGTTAATTGTGAACCACCAGAATTGCTCGCGTAATCAGTTTTCAAAACTTAATAATGAGAAGTTATCAAGGAAACGTGGAAAGTGCAAGGTAAAATAAATAACTTTGATGGGAAATAAATCACACACAAATGGCAGTAAATGCAAATCAAAGAGCCTCACCGTTTGTCTGCCTCAGTGGTTACCCTTATAAGGGCTTTATCTGAAGACACTTGTCTATTAAGTTTGTTATGTAGCTGGAACAGGAGGCTGGAAGCAAATTGCAGCTGGCGCTTAGAGAATGCTTTGCTGACATCTAGTGGAAGGATGTTTCCACCCATGCATATTCTGGAAGATAGAAGGAGAAAACAAACCTTAAAATGTTGGGGGGGGGGTTTCGTTCCCGTTCTTGTGTACTGTTTGAAATGCAACCTTACTTCCTGATCTTGCACCTTACTAAATGTGTCACCCGAGTCCCTCTGTACATGAGGTTACTACTCATATAGTAGTTTATATTTTGCTACACATACTCAAGGGACGTGGGTGGCACTGTGGGTTAAACCACAGAGCCTAGGACTTGTCGATCAGAAGGTCAACAGTTTGAATCCCCGCGGCAGGGTGAGCTGCCATTGCTTGGTCCCTGCTGCTGCCAACCTAGCAGTTCAAAAGCACATCAAAGTGCAAGTAGATAAATAGGTACCGCTCTGGTGGGAAGGTAAACGGTATTTCCATGTGCTGCTCTGGTTTGCCAGAAGCGGCTTAGTCATGCTGGCCACATGACCCGGAAGCTGTACGCCAGCTCCCTCAGCCAATAAAGCGAGATGAGCGCCGCAATCCCAGAGTTGGTCACGAATGGACCTAAAAGTCAGCGGTCCCTTTACCTTTACACATACTCAAGTGCACAGTAGTACATTTTTTTTCTGGCTCCACAGCCAATCAGGTAGATCAAGCAAACTCTGTGCATGGGTGTCTCCTAAATATAACTCATATTTTATCAGCCCCCAGTTCCCCTCACCAACCCTCCAAGTATCCCTATTTTCCAGGGACATCCCCGATTTAGAGAAGCCGTCCCGGTTTCTGATTTGATCCCGGATTGTCCCGCTTTTCCTTAGGATGTCCCCATTTGCATTGGAGAAATGTTGGAGGGTATGGAGTTACCCAACTCCCTAGCCGTCTGAAGGCAATCCTGTATAGGGAAGGTTTTTTTAAAAAATGTTTAATGTTTTATTATGTTTTTATATATGTTGGAAGCTGCCCCGAGTGCCAGGGCAACCCAATAAGATGTGTGGGGTATAAATGATCATTATGGAATGGGACGTCCCTATTTTCATTGGAGAAACATTGTGGGGGATGCCCTCCCTCCAACTGAAATGTCACTCTGGTTATGACCAATTGTTTCTGAATATTTGTGTGGGGAAGGGTCCCCAAATCTTAAGAAAGAAAGCTGTTTTCTTTCCTGTGACCAGCAAGCAAGAATACTGTTACATTCGATTTTGGGTTGGGTAAGGTAAAGGTAAAGGGACCCCTGACCATTAGGTCCAGTCGTGACCGACTCTGGGGTTGCGGTGCTCATCTCGCTTTATTGGCCGAGGGAGCCGGCGTACAGCTTCCGGGTCATGGGGCCAGCATGACTAAGCCGCTTCTGGCGAACCAGAGCAGCGCACGGAAACGCCGTTTACCTTCCTGCCGGAGTGGTACTTATTTATTTACTTGCACTTTGATGTGCTTTCGAACTGCTAGGTTGGCAGGAGCAGGGACCGAGCAACGGGAGCTCACACTGTCGCAGGGATTCAAACCGCCGACCTTCTGATCGGCAAGTCCTAGGCTCTGTGGTTTAACCCACAGCGCCACCCGCATCCCTTTTGGGTTGGGTATGCAGGAACTATTGTACAGGAACCATTAATATATTTATCTACTTACATTTAACATGGAAGATTTGCATATTTTTTTAGCTAGTAGCTAATGTCAATGTAATCGAAAGAGCATACTTAGGGGTTTAAAAAACACACACACAGTCAAAATTACATTGATGATTCCCTATGTAATACGTTAAAAAAGAATTGTTTTGCAGCAATTGCAGCTATTACCATTTGGCAACTCTTGCTTCTTGCATGCAGTTGTTTAAAAGCTGTGCCTGGAGTCAAAATAAATGGCCTTTTGGCATAATAAAAGTGAGAAAACCCTTGTGGCAATGAGCATAGCACAACTATCAAACAATAAGGCATTTGAGTTATTTGTAGCACAGAGGTGGAAGTGAAAAGGCTACATTTATTTGCACAGCTCTTTTTAATTTAAAAAGCTCTATGTTGTGTCAATCATAAAATCAGATAGTGCCGCAGTAATTGTTACAAAGTCTGTAATTGAGAAACATCAGCTGAGATTAGGTCAAGACAAGCCGTGTTTGCAGACAAAAGTCTGACTCTTGTTTCAGTGACAAGTTAAATAACACTCCAGCCTGAGACAAATAAAAAACATAAGATTTCTTACCTGCGTTGGGAAAGGATTGTTGACAGTGAACAGCATTAGGGAACATTATAGGTGGCATTGTTCAAACAGCTGGAGAACTGTAAGGAAGCGGGTGATGGATAGATCAAGGCTATCGGAAGTGAAGATGGGGATTTGATAATGAATGATGGAAGCTAGCTCAGTGTTTGCAAAATAACAGAAACTCGCTGTGAGAGCTGAGAGGCAGAAAGCTATGTGAGTGGTTGTCAAAGAAGGCAAGACACGTTGGAAAAGGAGCCAGGAGAAACAATATTTTTAAAGGCTGTATTATTAACTACTAGAGTACGGTATTCGAGAGGCCTTGCTTCAGCTATTGCATTACCTGGCACCCATCAAAGAATGTACAGGGTTCAAAACCGAAATACAGAATGGTATCCGAAATGTACACACTTTTATTATGGGCATCTCAGTCGTCAAAGCTGATACCATATTCAGCAGTCAGCTCTGCTCTGCTTGTTCTTTCTTATCTGGCTTTTGAACTTGAGACATAAAACAGTATCCTGGACTTACGTGCTTTCATTTTCATATTGTAAACTTCCAACCTGATGGAATCCTGAAGGAGTAAATTGGACAAAATATATTATTTAATCGCTCAACTAGGTAAGTTTTTTAATAAAACAAAAACAAGCAAACATTATTTCAGCCACTGGAAAAGAATACAGTGGTACCTCGGGTTAAGTACTCAATTCGTTCCGGAGGTCCATTCTTAACCTGAAACTGTTCCTAACCTGAAGCACCACTTTAGCTAATGGGGCCTCCCGCTGCCACCGCATGATTTCTGTTCTCATCCTGAAGCAAAGTTCTTAACCCGAGGTACTATTTCTGGGTTAGTGGAATCTGTAACCTGAAGTGTATGCAACCTGAATCGTATGTAACCCGAGGTACCACTGTAAAGGTAAAAGGTAAAGGTAAAGGACCCCTGGATGGTTAAGTCCAGTCAAAGGCGACTATGGGGTTGCAGTGCTCATCTTGCTTTCAGGCCGAGGGAGCCAGTGTTTGTCCGTAGACAGTTTTTCCGTGTCATGTGGCCAGCATGACTAAACCACTTCTGGCACAACAGAACACTGTGACAGAAACCAGAGCGCACAGAAACGCCATTTACCTTCCCGCCGCAGCAGTACCTATTTATCTACTTGCACTGGCATGCTTTCGAACTGCTAAATTGGCAGAAGCTGGGATAGAGCAACAGGAGCTCACCCTGTCACATGGATTCAAAACACTGACCTTCTCATCTGCAAGCCCAAGAGAAGCATAGGCAAACTCAGCCCTCCAGATGTTTTGGAACTACAGTTCTCACCATCCCTAGCTAACAGGACCAGTGGTCAGGGATGATGGGAGTTGTAGTCCCAAAACATCTGGAGGGCCGAGCTTTCTTATGCCTGCCCAAGAGGCTCAGTGGTTTAGATCACAGTGCCACCTGCATCCCTGGAAAAGAAAACTCAATGTCCCACAGCATGGCTAAAAATGCTGCAACTTATTTCTGGAATTAACTCTGATGCTCTTGTCAGACATGACGTATAAAATCCCTGGGACAGTTCAGTCAGTAGAGCATGAGACCCTTAATCTCAGGGTTGTGGGTTCAAGCCCCATGCTGGGTGAAAGATTGCTGAATTGTAGGGGCTTTGTCTAGTTGACCCTTGTGGTCCTGATCTAAGAATAGTTATAATAGGTCTTCATATACCTGTCTGATGACTGAGATCTTGGGGGAGTGTCTGTTAGTGGTCCCCAGCAGTTCAAAGATGCATGGCTTATAACTTCCAGAAGTCATGCACTCTGTATTGTGGTCACAATCCTTTTGAACTGAGATTAAACAGGCCCCCTCCCTGCTGAACTTCAAGTGCTTGGCAAAGACTTTCCTCCTTCAATAAACCTTTCTAGCTGGCTTCCTGGTTTGAGGATTAATTTTAATTGTTCTTATTCTTTGTAAAGTGGTACCTCGGATTAAGAACTTAATTCATTCTGGAGGTCCATTCTTAACCTGAAACTATTCTTAACCTGAGGTACCACTTTAGCTACTGGGGCCTCCTGCTGCCGCTGCGCCACCCCGCGACTTCTGTTCTCATCCTGAAGCAAAGTTCTTAACCCGAGGTACTATTTCTGTGTTAGCGGAGTCTGTAACCTAAGCATCTGTAACCTGGAGCGTCTGTAACCATTGTATAGGTTTTGGAAATGGCTGAATGCACAAAAAAGTGTACATTTCCTCCAAAACCAAACTTTTGATTCCTGAGTATGCTAAAGCTATACTGAAGCGCTGAGGAAGGCAGCAGTAAAAAAAATTAATCACAGGTTTTTATGGGCATTTCCTTTCTACATGTATGTACACACTGCTTAGAAATTCTGTATAACAAATGATTTATAAATACAATCAATCGATCAATCAATATGAAAAAACTTCCAGCTTTGAAGGATCTCAAATGACTAGATCTATTTGTTCTTGCTGATGCCTCTCGCCTCAAACTCCTTCCAAACACGTACAAGTCTCCATCTCTCTTTAAGTTAAAATCCTGCTTCATTTTCCATGAAGCCTTTGAGACTGTCTCTTAGTCCTCATGTCCAACTTAAAGAAAGAAAAACCTGTGGAATTTAAGGTACTGGTGAATGCCTGTCAATATACCTCACTTACTCTGTTCTTGTACTCTGTTTTAGTTATTTAAGCTCGTATCTAATTTATAGATGACTCAATCTGCGGAAAGCAATCTAATTTACATAGCACAAAAGAGCAATATTTACACACTATAAAAATAAAGATATCTCTCATAAGTATATAAAACTATAAAAATAAGGACCAACCACACAGTCTATGAATAGTAGTGAGGGGGAAACATGAATACTTGTGAGGTAATTCATTTATGAGAGAATTTCAGGAAATTTTTGATTATTTTACTGTGTTCTTTCTGAGTTAAAAAGTTGTGTTCTTCACAAATAACACACACACACACACACACACACACACACACACCCTCTTATTGGTGTGAATCCCGGGGGTGCTTTAAATAAAATGCTCCTAGTTGTAAAACAGATGGGGAAGCATTTTAGAAGGTGCCAGGTTTATTTATGGAAGCATGAAATTGAATTTAGTAGGTGAATTTTGCCAGTATGAAATGCAAACTCTCAAAACAGGAAGTGGATTTTTATTGCTTATTTATTTTATTCCTGGATCAGCTGCCGAGGACCGTAGAATCCTTCCTCTCAGGAATTATTTGCTTTCCAACTCTGAACCACAACATCTCGACCATCGGTTGCACATCACATCTGCTGCCAGAACTTCAACTACAAGCATATGCTTTGCTGTCTATCTTAACTGATCTTCTACAGATTTATATGAAGAAGAAAAAATGCTTTGCATTTGAGATAGGTTTCTTGATTTAAAACAATGGGAACCGATCTGCCTGAGCCAAGGGAAAGAATGTTTCCTCCAACTTCCAGTCGCCGATAACAAATTGCATCTCGAACAGGGCAAAAATGTTGGCTCCAAAGACCTTACAGATACCAAAGATGGACTGAACTCTCAGTTCAGCTTTTTGCTTCTGCTACCACACATTCAAGCAGAACAGGTGTTGTTTGTTATAGGAAAAGGTGGAAGGCAGGAGAAAGGCAAGCAAGACTGCTTAACTCCACCCCACTCCTAGAAAAGCTGCAAGGCTGCTCTTAGAAATTAGAACGAGTTCAAGATGTAGGACTAGATCCAGGTTTTGGAAAAGGTTTTGCAATCCTGTGAAACACATACTTGGGAATAAGCCCCATTTGGAGTCAACTGACTTTCTTCTAAATAAACTTGTAGGTGACTTGGTCAACGGATGAAGCTTCCAGTGAGGAGGACCATAGCTGTCAAGTGTCCCTTATTTGAAGGGACAGTCCCTTATTCCAGCGCCATGTCCCGCTGCTGTCCCTTATTGATGGATGTCCCTTAAATGTCCCTTAAATGATGTCCCTTAAATTTCAAAGGAAGCAGCTCCTCTCCCTCCCTCCCTGCTGGCCAGGGAGGAGGAGGCTCCAACTGTGTTGCTTGGCTGTGTTGCTCACCCAATAAGAAGTCTAAGAACGACTGGGGGGTGGAGCTTGCATGCCTTGTGTGTGGCTAGTTAATGCAAGCTGAGGGTGGTTTTGAATGCTGGACGCCATTTTTTGCACGTGCTGCTGCAAACTTTGCAGTGCAAAGCCAGGCCAGGGAGCCATCTTAAGCTGAGGCTGCATAGGCCTTGTGGTGCATGTGATTCAGATTCTATTCAGTTGAACCTCTGGTTACAAAGTTGGTTGGACAGTGTTCTCGAAGCTACCAGCATGAGTTTGACCAGACTGCAGGAGGACAGGAAGACTGGAGTGCCTGGAACAGGTGAGGCTGCAGGTCCCTTATTTTGGCTGCTGGTTCCTTATTTTCAAGGCTGCTGGTCCCTTATTTTCAAATCTGTAAGTTGACAGCTATGAGGAGGACCCATCCCTTCTCCCTCCCTCTCCCATTAGGTTTTACCAGAATTTCATATGGATCTTTCATGACTTGTGATGGTGCCAGCCCAAGATGTATAGCTACCTGATGACAAGATGGCACCCACCCCAGTCCATGTACAGATTGCCGGGCAGTTACGTCTTACTTCAACATTGGTGATAGGACAGCCTCCTCCACTACACCTCAGGGAAGTTTTCTTAGGGAATGCAGAGAACATATAGCTCTGTTCTCCAACAGAGGGGCTCAGCCAGACTGCTGGAGGCAGTCACCTCTCTCTGCTCAACAGCAGGACGGGCCTGGACCTGTGAAAAGCAATGACCATCGTAGGATTTTGCTTACATGATGCCTAGTGGTGCCTCTTCCAGAAACCAAAACATGCTCCTTCCAAGAAATGCTCGTTTACTTTCCTCTAGATTTACAGGGTAGCTAAATGTGTCTATGTATTATTTCTCTTTCGGCAATTCGCTTGCCATTTCTACACTATAAACGTCAGTTCTGCTTGGGGATGATTTCTTCTTCTTGTGGCAAAAGCAGAATTAGGAAAAACTGGGAACTTGTCTCCTTCTCCAAACTTGCATTTTTATTGATCGTTGTATTACAGTGGTACCTCAAGTTACATACGCTTCAGGTTACATACGCTTCAGGTTACATACGCTTCAGGTTACAGACTCCGCTAACCCAGAAATAGTGCTTCAGGTTAAGAACTTTGCTTCAGGATGAGAACAGAAATCGGGCTCCAGCGGTGCGGCAGCAGCAGGAGGCCCCATTAGCTAAAGTGGTGCTTCAGGTTAAGAACAGTTTCAGGTTAAGAATGGACCTCCGGAACTAATTAAGTACTTAACCTGAAGTACCACTGTACAGCTTTCCTCCAAGGATCTGACAGCACCACAGATGCCCTTCTGTTACCTCACAACAACCTTGTGAGGTAGGATAGATGGCAATATTGCAACTGGCCCAAGGTCACCCAGTGAGCTTCATGAGTGCATGGAGGTGGAAATCTGGAGCTCCCCAGTCCAATTCCAGCATTCTAACCACTTGGACCATGCTGGTTCTCTCAGTGGTTCTGCTGTGTATATAAAACTTCTGTCTGAGGTAGTGACAGAGTCAACTCGCCAAATCTCAAGCAGCCGCATAGAAAACTTCCTCATACCAAGTCAGAACACCAGTCCATTTAGCTCATTATTGTTTCCATGGACAGGCAGTGATTTTCCAGAGATCCAGAAAGGAGCTCTTCTCAGTTCCACTAGGAGATGATAGGAATTAAACTGGGGAGGATTTTGTTTGCACAGCATTTACCCCTGAGCCACAACCCTTTGCTTGTGTCACAAGACAGAGTTATTGTACCAGATTACTCTTTCCTTTCTTGGTACCCACGCCTGACATTTGCCCACGATGATGAATCCCCTTGGGGTGGGAGGAGAGGGACAGAGCACAGCATTAATGCAGAGACAATTTGTCTTCATTAACCTTGGTGGGATGAACTGGCCTATCATTCAGTTATGCTCTCAGACTGGACAGCGTGTTTGCAACTGATGACATGGTTATTAGATGAACCTTTGCTTTCCTGTTCCTGTTCCAGTTTCTTTCTTTCTTTCTCTTTCCAGCATTGCACCATCACAAGGATTTATTGCCTAGTTGTACCTTTACCAGTTTATATTTCACCTAAACTTGACTTCTCTGTTGGGGGTAGGAACTGGTGATGGGCAGTGGAAGGACCTGTAAAGAAACAAAACAAAACAAGAAGTAAAAGAAGATTTGTCAGCCATCAGAACTCAATCTTTTATGAACAGTTTATTTGATAGATTGGCGTACTATTGCCATCAAACCCCATTCAAACCATAGTTCAATGGTGGTGGGTTAATAGTTTTGTCCCTAGAAATACAAGGATGTGCTTCTAGGAGAGCTTAATGGAATTTGCTTTCAGTGGCCTGCAGCAAGGCTGTCAGATTCCAACTCCCCTGCTAGCGTGGCTAATGCTCAGGGATAATGGGATTTGTTGTCTAGCAGTGTCTGAAAAGCCACAAGTTCCTGACCCCTAGTCTCAAGTATGTCCCACGTTTCCCTCAATTATTGGGTTGGTTGTGTACAGAAAGACCCACCAGTACAAGCCACAACAGTGTATTTAACAGCCTTAGCATTACAATATGTCCCATCCT